TAAATTAGGCCCCATGGTTACCCCTCTCATAGCACCCTGTACTTCTTCATGGCACTTATCAGTGTCTCTTCTTCCTTATCTGATAAGGGCCTGTCTCTCCCACTAGATGGTGGGTCCCTGAGGGCAGGGAGCACATCTTCTGCTCCCCACTGTATCCCCAACACTGAGCACAGTGCCTGGCATTAGGCATATGTACAATGAACATGGATTGAGTGGATGAATAAGTAAATGAGGCATTGTGTTGTTTTACTTGATTAGGCAAAGCCCGTAAGTTGCCATACACTCTTTCCTATCCAGATGTGCAGAGAGTGGGTTGTAGACCAGGGCCTGTGCTCCAGCACTGCTGCTTACCAGCTTGTGCCTCTGTGAGTCACTTCACCTCTCTGAGCCTCAGTTTACTCAGCAGTAAAAGGGGTGGTGATAGTACCCACCTCACAGGATGACAGGTGAACTGCAGTCATATATGCAAAGGGCCTGGAACATAATGCTCAGTCTCCTTTCTAGGACCCTTGTGAGAGGGGCATGTTCACATCCCAGGGACTCTCATCTCCTGGGCAGGGCTCTTCTGCTGCAGCCCCAAAGCAGTGATGGGGAAGAGGTTTGTCTCTCACTAGTAGGACTGGTCTGAAATTCTCAAATCTAGTGCAGGACCATCTTTGCTCTCAATGGCCTCAGAGCCACATGGAAAGGGCACACTTTACTGTTCCCATTTTCTGACTGAGCAAGCAGAGGCTCTGAGCCCCAGCTGCATGGGGCACCCTCACCTACTCCAAGCCTGCCTGGCTGCCTTAATAGGGGGCTCAGAGAGCCAGAAAATCTGGTTCTGCCTCAGGCTTCCTGTAGAGAGGGGTCCAAGTCCTTGGCATTCCTGTGCCTTTGTGAGCTCGCTCAGTTAAAAAGGGGGTTCCTCTTTCTCATGCCGTCTTCTCCTAGAACCACCACCAGGGATAAATAAATGGAGAAAAACTGCCTTGGCTTGTCAGGAACCAGCCTGAAAGATGAACAAACCTGAGTTCGAGCAGTGGGAACTAAAGAGACAAACACAGTTATGGGATCAGGAGGGCTGCCCTCCAATGAGGTGCAGTCTCAAATGGCCTCAATGCCTTTATTATATAGTGAGTAACAAACAACTGGTAAGGAATGAGGGTGATACAAAGTAGTTCTTTCAAGGCTGCACAAACACACTTTCAGCGTAAACATCCTGCCTCCTGCATGAGCTCAGACCTTTGTAACTATCTTCATTTGGGCTCCCCACAGGAACCTGTGGGGAGGGTTGAGTCCCTGGCTCCAGGCCCTCAGGTGGTGTGGGCCATGTCCAGACACATCACCGGCTCCCAACACTGGCTGGTTTGGCCCACAGACTGAAGGGTTGAGGTTTTGATTCTTGGCTCCGGCCCTTTGGGGTGCATGTGGGAGGCAACCAATTGATGTGTCTCTCTCACATTGATGTTTCTCTCTCTCACTCTTCACTCCCTTCCACACTCTCTCTCTCTTGAAAAAAAAATCAATGGAAAAATATCCTCAAATGAAGATTAAAAAATAAAAATAAAAAAATAAATGGAGAAAAACTGACAGAGTGAGAAACCCTTCCAGACACAGGCTTGTGCCAGGTAGGTCTTATCTGTTTCTTTGTGAGATGTGAGGCTTGGTCCAGGCTGTAGTATCTGAGCAGAAGGGATGGGGGTGCCAACCCCTGGGCCATAAAAAAATGACTCTGTCCTCAGGGGGCTGGCACTTGAGACATCAGTGAAAACACTTGGAACACCTTCAAGGATGCATTTAAAGCTACAAAGTGCACAATCCAGTACTTGAACTTTCCCAGACTCTTTCAAGGGCCAATGCTGACCCCACCCACTCTGGTAAGCCCCTCCTGCATGCTCTGGCCCACCTGGACCCTCAAACACGTTAGTTTTGGGTTCTGCAGGATGGGGCTCCTCCTGCCTCCACAACCATGTACAAGTTCAAAGCCAGACCCAGAACCTGGGTCAGAAGTGCTGTCTTCTGACAATATACCCCATGCTTGCCCTCCCCATCCTCTTTACTAACACCCACAACTCCTTTAGAATTCATCCCAGGTAGAACCTCCCCAGTGACCCCTTCTCATTCCTCCAACTCCTCTGCAGGCCAGTGGTTTGTCCTGCAGGGGTCCCTTGGCCCCTTCAGCTACTTACCCTTCCCTGGGCTGGTCTATCTGCTCTTCCGTCTACTTCACTGAACTGGAAGTACCCTGAGGACAGGGCTGGGCCTTGGTCCCGGACAGTGTTTATAACACAAAGTTTGAAAGGGGGACACTCCTGGGTCTAGGATACCTGCCATTCAATTTTCCAGTGTTCCTGTTCATCAATCATAGAAATGGGGTAACTCAATGGGGCAACCCAGTTGGTGTCTATTTTCCTAGAAATCCCCTGCTTTGGCCACTGCTCCCCTGGAGGTTCAGGAAGATCAGGGAAGACTGCAAAAGAAGACTGTGGTGCCTCCACCCTGCCCCAGTCCCCACCACACACTCACTCATCTTTCCCAGCCACTGCTCACTTGCCAGTCCTAGAAGAGGTCACACAGAGACTGCAGGGACAGCCTGGTAAATGGTCTGTCACACTTCAAGACCAAAGCCTTCGATCTCTGTTTCTCCAGTTGGTCTCTTTTTCTGGTCTTCATCCAAAGCCCTGAGCCTGGGAAGCAGCATGACCCACAGAAAGAGCAAGGGCTTGGAGGCAGCAGAGCTTCCCCACTTAAAAGCTGTGAGACCTCCAGAAAGTAACCCCTCTGAGCCTCAGTTTTCTCATCTGTCAAATGGGCACAATAACATCCACCTTAGGAACTGCTGTGCGGATTACATTATAAATGATGGCTGTTACTTCACAGGCTGTGGTTGCTGAGCCACACTTCCCTCTGGTGTTCTATATGTAGAATGACCACTCATCCCTATTTGCCCAGGACAGACCCAGTTGGTGTCTATTGTCCTGGCATATTTATTGCCCCTTTTTATTCTCAGTAGTGCCCACTTTTGACAACAAAATACATGGTCAGCCTACCTGTACCTCTTTCTATTCCCAACTCAAGTCCGGCCTGTGTGAGCAGCACCCCCTTTTCTACTCTCCCCTCTAAGAGGCCATGTCTTGGTTCATTGGAGAATTTTTATACTCTTCTCTCTGAGCCTCAGGTTCTTATTTTTTAAAATGGGGATAGCAATGCCTATCTTGAAGGATTGTTAGGAGGATTAAATGAGATAAGGTATGCAAAGCTCATGTCTGTCCCAGGCCAGGTGCCAGATAAACACGAGTTCCCTTACATGGCCTTCTCTCCCAGGCTCCCATCATGCCAATTTCTCCCCAAGAGTGGGGCTCAAGAACTCAACTTCCACCCTGCCAAGAGTACAATTTTTAGGAGTTCCAGGTGACATATAAGCTCCTAAACCATGATCTCTTTCGAGAACAAATAATGATTTTCACCCACCCCCAAGTTCCACTACAGGTTCTGAGGGGTGTCCCAGCCTTGCCTTCCTGCATGTATCCACGTGTTTCTGCCCATGCTATCTGCTTCTAGGCCCATCTTTCTACTGTGAACCCCTCAGCCTTCACCTATTTGCCTAGGCAAATGAAGGTACCTTTGAACTCTCCCATCTTCCAGGAATCCAGAGGCCCGAAAGGGAGTATGCAGGGCCTCCAATCCTCAGGGACTTGCTATGTGGGCCAGCAGACAAAGGGTATCCATGTACTCTCAGCAGATAAAGCCACCATCAGACCAGGCCATTGTAGCAAGGGGATGATATACTCCCAGATTACACCTGGATTATCAACACATCCTCCAAAGTCCCTGAAACTCAAATCTCCCATCTGCCTCTTGCCTCACACCTACCTACTCCCAATATTCCTTTGCTATTAGACAACTGGCAATTCTGGCCAGATCCTGCCCATTACCTTGCCCCAGGTGGTACCAAACCTGCCTTGAATATTGTAGAATGTTTGGTTCCACCAGGAAGGTCTAGGCGTAAACAACCTGTCAGCCACTAGGATCTGACTCCAGGATTCTTTGTTCAGAGGCAGTTGCATGACATTTCAGGTTTTTACGCTGTCCTAGAAAATATATATGAAGGAAGCTATGGGAAGAAAAAGGTAATGAAGCAGCTACTAAATTGGGACTAAAAAAAACACAGGTATCTGACGGTGGTGGTGGTGGTGGTGATGTGTGTGGCATGTGTGTGGTGTGTGTGGTAGTATGTGTGGTATGTGTGGTAGTGGTGTTGGTGTGTGGCATGTTGTGTGTGAGGGGTAGTAGTGTGTGGTGGAGGGGTGTTTCAAAGGATCCCAGGGGGTAAATGCTAATGAGGTGGGAGCTTTGGTTCTGAGAGAGCAGCAACCTGTTTGGTAGCTGTAAGGGAAAAAGAGAAAGGGTGACCCCAACATTCCCATGTATAAAATGGAATTAAATAAACTAGTTGAGTCTATCATGATGCTGTTCTGTTAGGAGAGTGAAATAAGATCAAGGAAACTTTTCACAGTACAGGGAATACACAACATATACAAGGTGTCCCCCAAAATGTATACACACTTTAATAGCTAATAGCTCAATTTTGAAAAATGAAATGTATTTTTAATAAGCACTGCCTTTATAATTATTCAAAGTATGTGTAAACATTTTTTGGAACACCCTATATATATAACCCAAATATAATCTGGGGCTCCCTATGGCTCAATACTGCACAGATTATACTCAAAGAAGCACACACTGGCAAAGGGACCTAAAAGGAACCCCAATCTTTACTTGGGTCTCTTGAAGAACATCAAAGTGTGTCCAACTCAGAGCTCAGCAACATTCCTCAAAAATCCCTTTACTCCCTCCCCACCCCCATCTTCTTGTACCTCTTAGCAGCTCTGAGACTATAAACCCACCCCAAATGTAGCCCAACTCCTGGCCACCTACTGGCTCTGCTGCCACCCCCTGCCTGCAGGCTCCTCTCGGCGCTTTGAGTTAATGGAGTCTCTTCTCCTTGCTTTAATTTCCCCGCCCCCTTTACCCATTACTTGAATTTGCCACAGCAAAGAACAGCCCCAAAGTAGGGCTCCTTTCCTCTTCCCATCTTCTCAGTTCTGTACGTCAATCACCTTTTTCTAATTCTACACTACAAAATGCCCAGGACCCATGAGGGCAGATTGAACAATCCTGAGAGAAAAAAACTGTGGTAAGCAAAGCACAATTCTTTTTAGTGGGTGACACTGGGGACTGTAAATCATCTTGCCAAAAACGCACACAATTGTCATGAAGTTCCCCCTCCTCTACAAGCCACAAGAACATTTTACATTTACATCTCCTAATCATGCTGATTTTCCTTCACATTGTCACTCACTTTTGCACCACCTCCCTTTCCAGACCCATGGGTGTGGCCAAGGCCTCAGCACAGCCTGGTGTCCTGGCTTAGCATCTAGCTTCCGAGCTTACTCCAGCTTCTCAATTTTCCAACCTGTCCCACAAACCTTACCGCTGATCTTTACCACACTCGGCAAGCACCGTGCTTCCCTAGTACGTGGAGTCCCAGTCTGCACTGGGACACCCGCATCATGGCAGCACGTCTGCTCTCTTCCTAACTACTTTAGCTGCACTGGTCCTCAAGGAAGCACCCACCTGAGTTCTGACACCTTCAAAAGGCCACCCTGACTACCTCTCGATTCTGAGCCACAACAGTTAAATTTTGTACCACACAATCTCACTTTTGATTTTCACTGTCCTTTGATTATTTTGAAACCTTAAGACTATAGTCCCATAAGACTATAAGCTCTTTGAGACCAGGGAGCTCAAAGGCTTTATAAGAAGCATGCAAGGGTCCTCAAAAACCATCTTCTTCTATTAGCTCATGACAAGAAAAACAGGCGATTGTCTACTCCAAAGGCCTTAATGGAAATATCCAGATGTCCCTGACAAGTGTTTTGCATTAACTCCAAGCTCAAAACTTAAAATGAAGTCAGCCTCAGACCTTTGTTTCTCAACTACACAGTTCCCCTGCTGAGCAGCAAACAATGGCTGGTTTCTTGCTTACTTTTCAGTAGGTATTTGATATACACATAAGCCAAGATAAGCATACTCTCCTCTTCCTCACTTTTTTATACACAGCTAGCACGGAATACATTGTTGGGTATCTTGCATTTTCTTTTAATCAATGTATCTCAGACATCGTCCAATACTAGCACCTGGGGAGCTTTCCCACACTTTGCATTGTGGCGGTGTAGAGTTCCAGTGTAGGAATGACTCAAATTTATTTAAGCAATCTCCAGGTGTTATATAGTGAAGGTGTTTCCAGTCTTTTAATGCCATCAACAATGCTGCAGTGAATAGCCTGGTTGAGACATAATGTCATATATATGAGCGTCTCTATGTGACAAATCCCTAGAATTGCTGGGTAAGGTATATATGTGATTTTGAAAGATATTTTTAGATTGCTCTCCGAAGGGCAACCCTGTTGCTACCTAATAGGTGAAAACTTTCATTTCAGCATAGTTGGATTTGCAGCACTTTCCTCATCAATGTAGCTGAGTAGCTTTTTATGTTTAAAGGTGTGTGTGTGTCTGTGCTCACTTTTCTTTTGTTTTCCTGGTCCTTTCCTAATTAATGCACAGGCGCTCTTTATGTATTAGGGAAATTAGATATTTGTTCTTTCAGCTACAGATTATTTCCCCAGTTTGTTGTTTGTCTTTTGACCTTGCCTTTGGCTATTGCTAGGCAGAATTATTTTTCTGTAGTCAAATGTATCAGTCTTTGCTTTTATGGCTCCTAGGCTATGTGTCTTGCTCAGAAAGAAGCAGGACCACCCCCCTCCCCCAACCCCACACACCTTTTTTTATTTTGTCAATACAAGAAGCTTGGAACGACTTACCAGGTTTTGTGAGGAACAGGACTACTCTTCCCTTCTACCAAACCACCTTAGGGGGACACGAAATAAACATACCATTGCAATTCTATTATAATAAATGAGAGGGGGCACAATGGACACCAGCCTGAGTAGGCCAGGGAAGGCTTTCCAAAGTAGGTGGCACCCAGGCACATCAGAGGCTTGAGGAGGAGTCAGCCAGGTGAAGAATGGCCTTCCAGTAAAAGCAGCAGCATGTGCAAAGGCAAGAAGCAACAGGATTCCATCAAGGTTGTCCAGTCTGGCAAAAGGACAGGGTTCCATGCAGGGCTGGTGTGTTGTAAGGGGTGGAGTTAGAAAGGTAGGCAGAGACCTGATCACAGAGGGCCAAGTATGTCCTGCCCAGGAGTCAGGGCCTTACCCTGAGGCAGTGGGGAAGTGGCAGGGTGACAAATCAGCTGTATGGAGGAAGAACTGACAGCCCAGTGTGGAGGCTGGGCCCTGGCTCACAAGGCTTTCGACCCTTGACCAGCAGCAGCCCCAGCAGCCTACAGAGGCTCCCTCCAGGCTGTCAAACAGGAGTGCAAACTTCAGACCCAAATATTCTAGACTGTCGAACTTCCAGAATTCTACAAAAATCATTGGGAAAGTTAGCATCTTCTCTAAGAAACATTTTTGCCCAATGATGACAACTTCAAGAACTTTAACTCTTAGTGGGAAAGCCATGCTTATCACTCCCACCTCAGCACACCTCTGGCAGATGGGGTCAGGTTAATGCAGCTCAGGCACTAGGCACTGTTCAGGGAACAATGGGGCTCTTCAGCCCTAGCCAATTCATTCAGACTCCCATGCTAAATGGGCAACAGGGGTGCAGGACTGCCACAATGGAGTGGCAGACCCCAAGGTATGGGGTCTCCCGCTGGCCCACATCCAAGGGAACATCTCTTTCCTTCCAGCTAAGAAGGCTCAGTCTGCTCTGAGTAGCCACAGCTGTTTTCAGAGCTATCAGGCAAAGGCCTACAAACTTCTCTGCTCCTGTGACCTTTTGTTAAAACAGGTATTTTGTAGCAGGACTCCTGGGCAACAGTCTTTCCGAAAGTATCCAGCACAAAGCCTGGCCCACAATAAATGATAGCAGTTCCTGTTAAAATTGGAAAGTGTCACCATTCATTAGCAGTGTGCTAAGGGTAAAGAAGGGCCATGTGGACATGAGAAGGGATGTTGGAAACCATTGAAGTGGAACTTTGGGATTGTCTCTGAATTTCAGTCATCCAGACCCTCCCCACACCCCGACCTCCAAACCAGCCAAAGAGGCTGATTGTTGATGCTGCCATTTTAGTTATATTTTCTTCAGTGCCCTATGGCAGTTTTATCCCAAAGGGTCACTTGATTAAGTCAAGAGCTATAGAGATAAAGGCTCCTGGAGGCTGCTTGAGGCCTTGGTTCTAGTCAGGCTTCCTGGTACCCCTTGAAGGCCCCTCTACCCTCAATAGTTTAAGGGCATGCATGGGGTCCCATTCACCCCTGGCCTAGAAGGCAGGAAGCCAGCCCTAATCTCAGCTCCAAATAGGCAAACAAGCACCTCCCAGTGCAGCTACCAAACAACAATTAGGTCAAACATTTCTAGGGCTGAGCACATGTCTGGAGCCTGCTTCCCCATTCATGTGTGTTGTTGGGCAGTGGGGAGGAAGGGGGCACAGACACTCAGGGCCCCATTTGAGATGCAACAAAATTGAGGACCCAGGCCCTGGCCAGTGTGGCTCAGTTAGTTGGAGCATCATCCCGTACACCAAAAGGTTGTAGGTTCGATTCTCAGTCAGGGTACATGCCTGGGTTGTGGGTTCAGTACCGGGCTGAGGTGAGTACAAGAGGCAACCAATCAATGTTTCTCTCTCACATTGATGCTTCTCTCTCTCTCCCTTCCTCTCTCTAAAATCAATAAACATGTCCTCAGGTGAGGATTAAGGAAAAAACAACAACAACTGAAGACACCAGAAAGCAAAGGGCCTGAGTTCCAGGGCAGGCTCCAACTCTGCGGCTGTGTGCCTGTCATTAGCATAAAGGGCCACATCTGCTTAGGGCTGGGATTTTATCTTCCCCAAAATGAGATAGTCTATTTCAGTAAATGTTAGGAACGCTCACTGGTATGTACACATATGTAGCTTTAACTCCCACTTATTTGACATTTACTATGTAGAAGGCACTCAGTTATTCTGCACAAATTATCTCACTTGATCCGCTCAATAACTCCATGAGGGTAGGGTAACACAGATGAGGGCAGTGAGAGTCAGAAAGGCTGAGCCCTGCGCCAAGGGCCCACTGCTAGCATGGGGCAGAGCTGGGATTTAAACTAGGGACTGTCTTGCCTCAGAGCCCTTTTGCCCTTAACCACCTTAAGAACACCAGCCAGTAGTCAGCCCAGACCCTTCCCACTCACACCTACCAACACCCCTGATCTCTGAGACCACAGATAGACTGTGAAAGAAGGACAGACTCTCTCAACAGGTCACTTTACTTTATTTCCCAGTATCCCCAATCTCACCGCATGGTCTGTGGGAAATCTCAGGGTCTTGCCAACTTGCAGGCTTTCCTGACCCTGCACAGTAGCTGACATTCCAAAGGCCTGGCCAGGGGACCAACATACTAGGGATCTCCAGCTGAGGGTGTCTCCTGGTTGAAAGAAGTTGAGATCTGGGTCTTTGGTCCAATTTACCCTGGGGCAGTCAGGCCCTTGGAGACTGTGGAGTGGGCCCAGGCTAGGCCCCTACTCAGCAAAGGAGAATTTCCACCATACTTTGCCAATGTCCACCTTCATTGACGGCCTGAAAACACACTGGGTGCAGAGGGCCACACATAACAGAGATCCTGGGTTCAACTCTGCTGAAAGCCAGTGTGCTGGGAGAGGACTTCCTTCACTTTGTCCACAATGGTGCCCACCTCTGCCATGGCCCCCATACCTAGGGAGCAAAGTTCTGCTGTGGCCCTGCAGACTGAGGCAGGGACCACCCCCCACTACACCCCACCCTGTACTCCCCCAAGGGCTCCACCCAGACCCCAGTGCCAGAGAAGGCCAGGACCTTCTGCCTGAGCCAGACCCATCACCTTTTTCTGAAACCCCCCAGGAGAGGCCCCAGAATCAGTTACCGTAGCTGTCATGAACTGTGCATGGACTGTATACCAGAGATACCAGGCACCTTACATACACTACCTCATTTAATCCTAACAACTCTGAGGGGAAGGAATTATGATTCCCATCTTCCAGATGAGAAAGCTGGGCATGGAGGAGAACGGTTTGGCCTGAGGTCACAATAGGCTGGGATCTGAACCCAGATCTGACCCTAGGCCATGAGGACGGGCTATAAGCCTCGCGAGATGCCCACCTTGGTCTCCACACACCAGCTTCTTGGCCACACAGGGGATCTCGATATAGCCAAAGGCCTGGAGCTGGTCCACCTGCTGCAAGGTAATGGGGTGCTCCCACATGGCAGTGTTCATTGCTGGGCAGAAGAGCAGGGGCTTTCGGCGGTCCCAGGCCCGGATGACACAGGTCTGTGAAAAAGGGTGGGGGAGGGGGTGCTGCTGCTCCACCTGCCACCCCTTCCCAGCCCTTCCAGATCCTACACACCATCCTCTGGGTCACAACCAATCATGAGATTGGGATGACTGGGAGCTGCTGTCTGCAGTGAGCTGTCTCATATCCTTCAGGGGGTCAGGTCATGTCTCCTCGCCCCTCTCCACCTCCCCACAAGGTCTGGAACAGGGCCCAGGAGGTACTCTACCAGCCACCTCCAAGCAGACCTCCCCTCCCTGCAGACAGGTCTCCCTGTGCCCAAGCACAAGGCTTCTCCACAGCCAGCCACACCTTGAGACAGAAGCAACCCTGGGAGCAGAAAGCCAGCTCTGCAGTTACCCATAAAGCTAAGGACCAGACAGCTCAGTGGGTGGGGCCCATGCACATGGACTCTGGCTCTACTTCAAGGCCAACAAAAGCTGGCAACAAAAACATCTTACACAAGACAAAGACCCTCTCACATATATGACCCATGAACCCCCACTGCAACCCTGTAAGATGCTATCCATTTCATTGATGGTGAAGCTGTACTCCCCAGAGGTGAGCAACTGCCCAAGGTCACATACCCAGACAACAATCCGGGGCATGAGGCTATGCACAAACTTCACCATACCTTGCAGCCTCACTACCTCCTGATTTCCAGGCCATCCCATCCAGCCACAGATCAGAGCAGCTGTGAAGGGAAGTCCTTAGTACTGCAGGCTTTGAAATCACATAGACTTGGGTTCAAATCTACTATTACTGGCCATGAGAACTTGAACAAGTTATTTATTGGCTTCCTCCCTGCAAAAGCTTCCCCTCACTAGGTGGTTGTGAGGATTGCGGGTGAAAATAGTTAATGCTCTTCACACAGGGCCTGGCACAAAGTACAGGCTCCAGAAACAGTAGCACTTGTTATTACTACAGGCACAGGCTCCCTGGGCCGAGGACTACCTATGGAAGAGATAGGCCCCGGGGCCCACAGGAGTGTGCTCCCCTGTGCTGACTACTCCAGGCACCTTCTCCTGGCCTGCTGGCCCCTCAGGAAGACAAGCCGGCATACCTCTTTCCTGAAGTGAAGCCTGTCTGGGAAAAGAGGGGAGTCCAGAGAATAATAAAATGAAGAGGGCAGGGCCAATGCTGCCCTTCTCAGTACCCCTGCCCTCTCCTGGGGACAGGAAAGAAGTAGGACAGCACACAGCCTCAGGATCTGGCTGTTTGCATAGTCCCAGACACCAGCCTTTGTTTCCCACCAGTATCTCTCTGAGTTCAGCAACCGGGCTCTGAGTGGACAGTTTCGGTCACACTTCTTCTTGGCCCTGTGCCACCTGCTGCTTCTGCAGAAGTTTTGAGCATACCTAGAAGAGCCCCCTGACTGCATGTGGGGTGGGGGCTGAGCTGGGGTTTCTACATGTCCTCAAAACAAAGCACACTGACCAGAACAGAAACCGAACCCCTCCATGTCCCACACCTCTCTAGCTTTGCCCACCTCATCTCAAAGCTCAGGGCTTCCTGGACGGACAACAGCTCCTCCAAACCTTCTGGCAGCAAGAGGCATGAAAGGAGACATTAGCTCCCACCATCACTTCTGCTTGGTCAATGCTGTATTCAGCACCTCGCGCTCTGCCCCTGGGAATCCAACTGGGTGAAGAGAAGGCCTGGATCCCAGTCAGGAGACCAGCTCCCAGCTAGACTGGTGATCCAAGGAAGTCTGTTTCTCTTTTTGGATCTGCTTGGCTGTTTAGCACAAAGAATGAGCCAAGAACTGAGTAGGCCAGAGGGGCAGGTCAGATGACAAAGGCCTGTAGGTAGTACACAGATTCACACCCAGCACACTACTCTAATAGCACCTCAAGTTCTGGGCACTGGAAAGGAAGGAAGGAGAAATAAAGGAGGGAAGTAGCAGGGCAAGCATAGAGGAACATAAGGAGAAAACATATTTTGAGAGAGGACAGAGCAAGGATGGTGACAGTTTAAACATTGTACGATTTGCAGTTCCTTAAAATATTTGCCTTCAAGTGAAACCCTCTGAGCAAAATGATCTGAGAGCTGATCTTGGGAACATATTCTACTGTTCAGCCAACTCAGGAGGAGGGAACCCCAAAGATTTCAAGGAGCGGTGCCAGCTTCAAAGAAAAAAGGGAAGCAGAACATTCAGGAGGAAGGAGGGAGCCCTCAGAGAGTGGCCCAGGCCATGGCTTAACACCTAGAGGTTGGTGTGCTTCACCACATCAGCCGGCTGCTGACCAGCAGTGGGGAGCCTGGAGAGTTGGTAACATAGTGCTGGTCACATACAATTCCGACCCACTTAAATGAAAGTGGCAGGAGGCTCACAGGCTCCAGCTGCCCTGTCAGCCCTGCCACTAGTACCACTGGCAAGCCTTCTGAATCACTCTGCCCCTAGGCTCGCCCACCTCTGCACTCCCCTACCTTGCTCCTGGCCACACAATCTGTGTGCTGCTCTTCTTCTGGTCATCCTGTGTTCTTACTCAAATGACGCTTAAATCGCCAATAGAGTCTTCCAAAAGCACCTGAAGCACCATCAACAAGAACAAGAGGAGACTAACTTATCTGACTCCCCAAAATACTGACCCAGTTTTATTATTCACTTCTTCACCATATTAAACTCTGAAAAACTCTTGCTGTCTGCCAAATTAAAATTACTAATTACCTCATACATACAGTAAGTACCTATTGACCATTTACTATATGCCCAGCACTGTGCAAGGTGGTGACACTTGTCAAAGGACAGGCTGGGGTCATTTTCCTTCCAGACTGTGAGCTCCTCGTGTCCTATGTGACCCTCAGCATGGGGTTCAGTTCATGGTAGGTAAAAGCTCAATAAATGAGTAAAGGGAGGGTGATAAGGCAGAAGGAGGAAAGAGATCATGCCTAACTCTTCCTAGGATGATCAAGTACAAAGGCTCTTTAAGGACAACAGCTCCCTGGAGGTCAAACCCCACTTAGCACAGCTGAATTTGTGTTCCTTTCCTCCACCATCCATAAGCTTACACTCTTGCCCAGTCTTTTGCCTCACTTCCTCTCTAAGCTTTCCATGATATATAGGAAAACTGCACCTCCACCTGTTGCTAAAATAGATAAGTGTGTGTGAGAGATCCATGAAGAAGTAAACACTCTTATCAGTTGTCCATGTGGATATCCAGATCCTGGTGAGAAGGCAGGCAATGGGAGACAGGCAACATGACTAGGCCCTAAGACCGACAGATCGGCAGCCCATCAATGAAAGACAAAGGGAGAGAAGCTGAGCGTCAAAGGGGAAGTGAGAGGTGGACTGCCTCAGAGAGCATCCGTAAGTCAAATCCATCCATCAGGACCACAACTTCTGTCCACTTGCCAGAGCATAGATAAGATAGGTAGGGGGCAGGGGGACAGTGTTCTGAGCAAACTGGACCACAATAAAAGGATTCCAAGGTAAGAACCTTGTACAAGGGCAGACTGTAACTCAGCAAACTAAGAGAGAGGCCCAAGTAGGGAAGAGGGCACAGGGAGTCACTCACAAGCAAATTGTCACAGATGCCACTGGCCACCTTCCCCAAAGTGTTGGCATCGAGAGGAGCCACCAGCATAAGGTCTGCCCACCTCCGAAGGTCAACATGGAGAACTGGGTCAGACCGGCACTTCCATATCTGGCAGAGAAAAAGAAATGGGGTCACTGGGCAGGCCATTCTGCATGTGGAGGGAGGACGGTGGGAGGGGGGGCAACACAGGCCAAGGACATTAAGTCAGAAACCCAAGGAAGACTACCTGAGTGAGGACCCCTGCCCAAGTCCACTGTCACTCCCTCTCACAGCTAAGCTGGTGAGAATATTGGCTTCAGAGTCAACAGCCTGAGAGAAACCAGGCCTGGGGAAACAAATGCTCCTCGTCATTACAAGCTATTCCCTTTATGGTTTGGTTTTCAAGAGAACTGACAGCTGGCAGGGAACTCCTGTCCTGTCTGCTTGGGTTGTGCAAGCCAGTGGACAGTGAGAAATGTCT